TGCCCAGTGGGGAACGGGGGTCTCGGGGCTCCAGCCCCATGGGGCGCACCTGCCAGGGCTCCAGCAGGAGGGGGGCTGAAGCCCCGAGCCCTGGCAGGCATGCCCCATTTCTCAAACTTCTGAAGATTGTTGTATGCGGCTCAGGGGGTCAGTAAGTTTGGAAATCCCTGGTCTGTAAGTATCTACATGGGAAACAAATATTTAATAATGGGCTCTTTGATCTAGCAGAAAAAGGTACAACACAATCCACTGGCTGGAAGCTGAAGCTAGACAAATTCAGATTAGAAATAAGGTGTAAAATTTTAACTACAAGAGTAATTAATCATTGGAACAGCTTCCAAAAGGGCGTGGTGGATTCTCCATCACTGACACTTTTTCAATCAATATTGGATGTGTTTTTAAAAAGTATATATATATGCTCTAGGAATTATTTTGGGGAAGTTCTATGGTCTGTGTTATACAGCAAGTCAGAGTAGATGTCACATTAGTCCCTTCAGGCCTTGAAATCTATGAGTCAACCTTCAATTTTTTAGAAGTAGTTGCAGTCTTTTGCTAGTCTTTAGAATGTATTGCTTTATATACACAAATAAATAGTTTGGGGCATCACTAAGTGGCAATAAAGTTCTGAAGTACTATAGAAGCAATTAACAGTTCCACTGGAGAAAAAAATCTGTCAGTATCTTCATAATAAATTGTTTATTTTTTTTTTTTTTTAAATGTGATTTATAGGTATTATGACTATCATGATCATGGCAAAAAAATAAACCCAAAATGCCATTTTGGCAATTTCAGTCACTTTTGCTCTCTGCCAACTAGTGAAAGCGATGGATTTTAAAAAATGAAATTTTGCAGTTCACTAGCCCAGAATGTTAATTTGAGTTTTTGGCTAAATTATTTTGAAGGATGTGAAGCAGCAAGTAAATAGTCATTGTATTTATGTTATAAAGTAGCATCTGTGCACGTGCAACAGCTAGTTTTCATATCCATTCCACACAGATGGGAGATTATCCAATATCTAGTATTCAAGGGTGTATTTCAAACTAACCTTTACACATCTATCTTTTCCTGGGATTCTGCATAATATCCTTATTAGACACTTGCAGGCTTTTCCATTTACCAAGATTTTGCATAGTAATTTAAGAAAAGAAAAAAAAAAACATAATATCTTACATTTATGGAGCATCTCATCTCCAGGGACCCTAAAGCATTTTGAAAACTGGAAATATACAGAAAGATTCATTTTATTCATCATTTCAATATGGTAACTGCTAGATAGCTTTATCCTACTAGGTGCTAAGCACCCTCAATCCTCCTGGAATGTGTGGTTGGGTGACAAAATTGAAATCAATGGGTAATCTGTACCTCACAGGATCAGTCCATATGGGTTCAATGCTGAAGGGTGCTGAGCACTTTGGCCCCAATCCAGCAGGCAAAAAACTCTAAGCACAGGCTTCAAACCCAGTGGCTTCTATGGAATTTACGTGCATAATTAAGTTCTTTACTGAATAGGGATGAATTCAGCACATACTTAAGTGCTTTGCTCAGCCAGGACCTAAGAGTGCACTGCACTACACAACTAATTAAAAAAAACTAACACAGAAGAGTGAGGGTAAAATATTGGAGCTACCAATCTTATTAAATCACAACAAAGACATCTAAGGAAATCTTTAAAAGAAAAAGACATTAAAACTGAAGTAAGAGGGAGAGTTAAATCAAAACAGACAGCAATTCCCTACTTTGGCTACCACGTCGTCCTTAAAACTTGGAACTGATCCTGGGAATTGCTGACTATAAGGTAAATAGTGGATGCCTTTAATGTTCATTCTTCGTGTTTTTATTCAATTGAAGGTAGAAACAATGGTATTTACAATGTTTTTATATGGAATACTTGAAACCAAACTTTAAAGTTTTAGACTTAACCAAGAAAATTACCATGCTATTCATAGACTCCAAGGCCAAAAGGAATCATTGTGATCATCTAATCTGACTCCTCCATGACACAGGCAATAAAACTTCCCCAAAATAAGTCCTAAAACATATCTTTTGGAAAAATATCCAATCTTGATTTTAAAATTGTCAGTGATGGGGTTGTTCCAATGGTTAATTACTCTCACTGTTATAAATGTATGCCTTATTTCCAGTCTGAATTTGTCTAGCTTCAACTTCCAGCCACTGGATTGTGTTACAACTTTCTCTGCTGGATTGAACAGCCCATTATTAAATATTTGTTTCCCAGGTACACACTTATAGACTGTAATCAAGTCACCCCTTAACCTTCTCTTTGTTAAGCTACGTATATTGAGTTGTTCACTGTTACAGCAACACACACAGAACTGGGAATGCATGGAGCAGCTGAAGTGGTGTGGGAAAAGGGGGAAGAGAGCTGGACTCAACATAAGGCCCCAACATCCCACATGAGAAGAAGCAAACTCCACATTTACTCCTGGGGGCATTCTGCGCCAAAAAATTAAAAATTCTGTGCACAATATTTTAAAATTCTGCAAAATTCTGCAAATTTTATTTGTCAAAACAACTCTACATAATCAAGACAGTTTCAATTATTTTGGTAATTTATTTCAAAATATCTGTCAGCAAGTATGTCTGTAACAATACAGACACACACAGGAGTAGAGTGTTAAAGAAACCCCTATGACAACCCAGTTCCTGTTTCTCCGCCGCCTTCCCCACCCTGAGCCCAACCAGGGAGCCAGACACCCATAATCCCTCCCTCCCCCCAAGAACCCAGCCGCGGGGTCCCCCCAGCCCAGATACCCACACACACGCCAGCCATGGCCCCCCCAGCACCGACACACACCCCCTCAGAGCCCAAGGATGCAGAGAGAGAAACAGCCTGTGCTGGGTCTTGGGCTTGTGTGAAGTTTCCTGCGTGCTGCTGTCTCCTTCCCTCAGGGCGTGTGGGGAACTGCAGCTGCTGGCAATCCTCTAGCTCCCTCCCCCTGACAGTGTCTTCTATATATATGGTGGACTCTGCTGGGTCCAGCAGCACTGCAGCCCATTTCTGTGGGGGAAAGGAAATGCTGCACACACATTTCCGCAAAATTCTGCATTGCACAGAATTCCTCCGGGAGTATGTCACAGTACAGGAGATGGGGAGAAAGCCAGATCAAGCTCTCCCTGTAAGTCTTCTGGAACCAGTACATGACCTTAGCAGCCCAACCACCCTGCCAGGGGCTCTGCAGGAGCCAGAATCCTCATTAGGGTGACCAGATGTCCCGATTTTATAGGGACAGTCCCGATTTTCAAGTCTTTTTCTTATATAGGCTCCTATTACCCCCACACCCCGTCCTGGTTTTTCACATGTGCTGTCTGGTCATCCTAATCCTCATGGACCCAACAATTGACACCATTAGCCCATCCCCACTTCTAGGATAACAGCCTTTTCATATTGACAGCTAACATAGTCAAGTCTTGTAGCTCATGCAATAGAAGCCTGTGCTGTGGTGCTGAAAATTCAGGGATTAAACTTTGCTTGTGCTGCATGGGGTTATTATAGTTGTATATAAACAATATGGGGGGGAGGGGGGTTTCCTTTAAAAAAAAATTAGGAAATTAAATACAAAAACAAACAAACAAAAAATACATAAAAGTTTATTATTTAGGTTTCAAACTCAAGCACAAAGTTAGAAATGCCAAATTTATGGTTGCCTGTACAGTCTTAAATTTCCCCCCCCCCCCCTGTATATATTCATTATGATACAGTATTCAATTACATAATCACATTCTATACACATGCTGGAAGCTCAAGGGGGCAAAATAAGTTTGAACAGGAAATCTTAAATTTAGCGTATTTTCTAACTTTTGAGTGCTTGACTTCGCAATCTAAAAAAAGGACATTTAATAAGGTATCATATTAACTCCACAAAGATAATGGTATGGATAAAAAGCTAGACGGTGTGACACTGCCTTTTACTTAGCAGTGAATTCCTGTCCAGAAATGTTGTGGGTGCCAATGATTCCTGGTAAAGTTGCAGCCCATTTTTGTCACCTTTGAGCTAAAATTGACATATGCCCTCATTTTGTCCTTGTCTACAGAAACTTATATGTTGACAGTACTGTCCATTTGTCCATTCGTCAGCTGAGTGACAATACTTGATCATCATTGGGTAGAGAGTATAGTAGTGATGAGGGTGGTTTTGTTTGTGGCCAAATATTTTTAATTTTTGTAAATGGGCTCATTTATTGTCATGACGGATACAACAAATCATTAAATACATTCTGTTTTCGTAATTTGGATAGAAAGAGATTCTCCACTGTACCTGAGCTCTGCCTTGGCACTCTGCAGAGGAGAGACTTACAAGGAAATGATTGTGGCTCTTGGATTCTCAGGTGCCTGACCCTAGTCTACATAGGACACAGCATACCCTTGGCCCCTCCAAGCCCCCTTCTCTCCCCATCCCTTTCTTCCCCTTCCATACTCCCGCACCCTTCCTTCTCCCAACACATCCCTTCTCTCCTCCAATGCCAAAAAGAATAGGTGCAAGAGGCAGCAAAACTTCCTCTCCCATTTTTATACTGGGGGGAGGTTTTCCCCTACCAAGGGGAAACTCTCCAGCACAGATCTCCTGCCAAAAATCACGGTGGTGGACTGGAGAATCTGGCCCCAAAGCATTAAGGGAAAAGACAGGCAAATGCATTATATCAAACGTCTTTAACCATCATAATCACCCTTCTCCTCTTCCCTAGATATATTTCGAAGTGTTAGTTTTGAAAACAAGTTCATTTGGAAACACTGAAAAATGATCAAAGAAAACAAAACTAGATACATCAAGTCTTCATTCTTCTATTAGTGGCCATTCAACATCATACTTAAAATATGGCAGATTTTTAGGAAGTACTGAATGAGGCTTGACCAGCAACATAGAAAAAATATTAAAGCAAATAAGACTTTTAAAAATACCTCTCATAACTTGAAGAAATCCATTTTCTTCAGAAACTGCATTAGATATTGAACAAAAAAAATTATGTAACTTTACACTTACTTGGTGATAATTCTGGATTTCCTTTCAAATTCATCATCTTTGGAATTGAAGGGCCATATACATCTGCATCGAGCAAACCAACTGCTTTTGTCTGTAGGACCAAAAAATTATGAAGGTCAACACATCTTTTCTGCTTCAAGAAAAATTATCAGTTAAGCAAACTTTCAAAGCTGGCTGCAGAAATAAATGTATGATCTTGATTTCATCCATAATTTAACGCTGTTCCCGCCCTTTCTAAGTTACATTTGAAGCAAAAAGTATTATGCATTAAGTACAACAACATTGTCCCTCTAGGATTTGAGCCAGTGGATTCAATTGCAAGAACTAGTTTCTCAGTAACCAGCATCCTCACTCACACAATGAAATATTCCTTATTCATGGTGTTTGCTGTTGATTATTTATGGAAAACTACACCACGAACTTCCTTCTCTTTACACATATATACAAAAGTGTCACAGTCTGGCAAAATATATTCTGCCTCATTATATTTAAATTTGATGTTTTCTATATTAATCAACTGGTAATGAACAAAGAAATAAAATGAAATAATAATAAAAGGTTAAAATGAAAGGTGAAAATATATTTATGGGACCAGAATCCCTGTCTTCAGATTTCCACATGACAGTTAAAAGAAAATTCAGACTGATGAAGCCAACTGAAGCTGTTATACATGATCCATATTTATTACAAAAGAATGCTTAAAATGTTCTCATTTTTAATTGCTGCCATTGACAAGACAAATAAAAATATGGGATTATTCAAATATGTAGATAGGAAATTATTTAGACAAGGAACTTTACATACAAAATTATAACTACTGTTTCCAGGTTTACAACGAAAGTCATTTCAAGAATGGTTACATACATTTTAATTTTAGCAAAAAATTTGTTATTAGCACCAACAGCCGAGATGCACTGCAGGTTACAGCATCTTGCAAACTATCAAGTAAGGAACCAGTCTTATAAGGTCTTGAGCACCTTCAACGTCAGTGAAAGTTGATGGCATTCAACACTTTGCTTACTGAGGTCCTGATTCTGCAAACAAAATTTGGGCCTGTTTTAAAGCCTATGAAAGTCAATGGGAGCTTTTCAGTTGACTTCAGTTCACTTTGAATCAGGCTGTCAATGGTCATGCACCAAAAAATGTACTTTGGTATTTATTTTGAATGAAGTCTTAATAATAGGAGACCTCACTGCTATAGCATTCTTCTATCACATCTGTAATGAGAAGTAGGGTGAGACAGTTGAGCTCTTGAAAATAATCATATTTGTGACTTTGAGTGTAGAGAGGTTTCTACTGAATATCTTAGAACTTTATAAAGAAGTGTCTCTAGCTTTGAACAACATATCCAAATGTGAAATGATATCCATAATGTCATTCAGGTTACTATGAATTTTATAACAGCACAAAATAGCTTTCGTTAATCAAGTTTTCCAAGTCAGGTGTGTTAAAAAAAAAAAAAATCATGAAAGAAATGTACTTTAATCAAGATTATAAATATTTAGTTCACTATTTGTTAAATGATTCTGAATTATAAGTATATATTTTAAAATTTTAGATTTTTGAATAGGCAGGATTTAGTTCATAAAAATGTGTGCAACTGAGTGGTAAGTTTGTCAGTTTATTTAACGCTATTTTATTACTAGATTATCAGTCAAGAGAATTAGAGATTTATATTGTTATAACAGAATTCAGAAAGACAGCAATGATACTTAATCAATTTAAAAGGTTTCATCTTTGCAGCATATAAACATAGTGCACCAAGACGTATTAGTGATGAAAAATGAAAACTTATTGCTATAAATCATGGTTGTGATCTTTAAATGAAAAGTAACACTCAACTGTCACCATAAATTCAAACTAGTATGTGGCTACATAACGTTCTGTTCTCTGTTCTTGAATATGTTTTTTTATCTGAAGACTGGTAGACGGGACAGTATATGTAATCACAGAGATGAAAGCTTAAGATTTCATTTAGTGGGTTTTTTTTTCCCCTTTATAATTTATAACATCCTGTGAAAGCTATAAAAAAATACTGTTGTTACTCTGACACGTTATACTGTTTCATGCCTAATGTATGAAAGCTGCAATTTAAAAGATCGGAAAGCCCCATTTTTATGTTAGATTTCAAAGGCACCAACAACAGTTTTTGCGCTTCTTTGTTCTTTGACAAAATGCATATTTTAAAAGATTATGATTTCTGACTCAGTCCTTTTATCCATGTCAGCAGCTAATTGAACCCATCAAAACATCATTTTAGGAATTACTTCTGAAATCAAAGTAAATATTACCAGCAGAACCTACCTACTGATTTAAAACTGATTGACATTCTTCCCTCCACTGCTTTTTGTGGGTTTTTTGCAACAAGTCCCATGAACATCCAGAGAGGTAATGGAATGAGTTTTGGGAACTCCTTGCTACAATTTTGACATCAGATTGAGGGAAGTGAAAGTTTAAGATAATTTCACTGCCACTGACGGAGTTCATGCTCTCTCGCTATACTGTCAAACCATCCCCACCAGAGATTTCCTCCTGGGATTAAAAATACTTATGAGCAGCAAATATTGTGCCTATGGAGTGCAACAGATTACACTAGTCCAAGATGTATAAAATAAATAAGTATTCTGGGGATGATACCTTCATATCTCATGGTCTTCATACCGCAAACATTCAAACACTATTTCATATTACAAATCTGATCAGTATACAAAATATACACTGCTTGCTTAATACATTTCCTCAAAAAATCAATTTAATATGTTTGTTTGCCAAGCAATTTTGCCTCTTTCCAGGATTACGGTTAAAATGAAATGTTTCTGTAATAACAGAAAAAAAACCCACAACAGATTCTCTAGTTGCTTAACCTCTCTTTTCTGCAAGCACAAAAACCGCTGGTATGGGAGATTTGTCACACGTTTATAGAAAAAGGTCTCTTGGGAACCCTCTGCTAAAACATTGGCAGAATGTCACTGTAGACATCGTAGCGTAGGCTTTTCTTCGCCAAGCTATTCAATCCCATATGCCGAGAGGGCTCACATCTCCCTAAGGCAGCAGCTTGCACAGAAAAGGTTGGCCTCAGAAGTGAGCTTTTACTTTTTCCTCCAACCTTTCATTTTGGACAGCCAAGTATCCCTGGTGTACTAATATCAATCCTTTATTCTATTTTAATTACACTGGCAGAACCTTACTGCAGCTATCAAGTAATCTTCTAAGATTGGCACAGACTGAAGTATCTCTTCCAACATTTTCACAATGCTCTAAATCCCCACAGGCCCAAGAGAACACATCTTAAGGGTTCACCAGGATACCATCCTTATATCACACTGCTGTATCAGAGCTATTCATCCAGTCTATTTCAGATACTGACCAGAATGTAATACAGGTATATGAAATCTGTATTTAAAAATAAGAGATAATTTAAGGAACTCAAATAAACTTTTTTAAAACAGTATGCATTTCAAAAGTAAAACTACTACTTTTACCAATGATTTTCTTGGAAGGTATAAATATTTAAATGTCCTAATATAATAAAAACTAAGGCTGTCAAGCGATTACAAAAATTAAGTGAGATTAATTGTGCTGTTAAACAATAATACAATACCATTTATTTAAATATTTTTGGATGTTTTCTACATTTTCAAATATATTGATTTCAATTATAACAGAATACAAAGTGTACAGTGCTCACTTTTTATTTATTTTTATTACAAATATTTGCACTGTAAAAAACAAAATAAATAGTATTTTTCAATTCATCTAATACAAGTACTGTGGTGCAATCTCTATCATGAAAGTTGAATTTACAAATGTAGAATTATGTACAAAAAAATAAATACATTCAAAAATAAAATAATGTACAACTGTAGAGCCTACAAGTCCACTCTGTTCTATTTCTTGTTCAGCCAATCGCTCAAACAAATTTGTTTACATTTGCAGGAGATATTGCTGACCACTTCTTATTTACATCACCTGAAAGTGGGAACAGGTATTGTAATAGCACTGTTGTAGCTGGCATCGCAAGATATTTACATGCCAGATGCGCTAAAGATTCGTATGTCCCGTCATGCTTCAACCACCATTCCAGAGGACATGCATCCATGCTGATGACAGGTTCTGCTCAATAACAAGCCAAATCAGTGTGGACCGATGCATGTTCATTTTCATCATCTGAGTTAGATGTCACCAGCAGAAAGTTGATTTTCTTTTTTGGTGGTTCAGGTTCTGTAGTTTTCACATCAGAGTGTTGCTCTTTTAAGACTTCTGAAAGCATGCTCCAGACTTCATCCCTCTCAGATTTTGGAAAGCACTTCAGATTCTTAAACCTTGGGTCGAGTGCTGTAGCTTTCTTTAGAAATCTCACATTGGAACCTTCTTTGTGTTTTGTCAAATCTGCAGCGAAAGCGTTCTCAGAATGAACAACGTGCTGAGTCACCATCCGAGACTACTATAACATGAAATACACCTCTACCCCGATATAACACTGTCCTCGGGAGCCAAAATATCTTACTGCATTATAGGTGAAACCGCGTTATATCGAACTTACTTTGATCCGCTGGAGTGCGCAGCCCTGCCCCCCCAGAGCGCTGCTTTACCGCGTTATATCCGAATTCATGTTATATCGGGTCGCGTTATATCGGAGTAGAGGTGTATATAGCAAAATGCAGGTAAAATAGAGCCGGAGACATACAATTCTCCCCTAAGAAGTTCAGCTACAAAATTAATTAACACATTTTTTTTTTAATGAATGTCTTCAGCATGGAAGCATGTCCTCTGGAATGGTGGCCGAAGCAGGAAGGGACATACGAATGTTTAACGTATCTGGCACATAAATACCTTACAATGCCAGCTACAAAAGTGCCATGTGAACGCCTGTTCTCACTTTCAGGTGACATTGTAAATAAGAAGTGGGCAGCATTATCTCCAGTAAATGGAGACAAACTTGTTTGTATTAGGGATCGGCTGAACGAGAAGTAGGACTGAGTGGACTTGTAGGCTCTAAAGTTTTGCATGGTTTTGTTTGTGAGTGTAGTTATGTAACAAAAAAAAATAAAAAAAATCTACATTTGTAAGTTGCACTTTCACGATAAAGAG